GCATTCAAAATGAAATTCATTTCACACCGGTTGCACGCTTTTACAGTTACTATGGTAGGAGCAAGAAAACTATATGAGGATTTAGGGGACATGTTGTAATATCAGGGTCATGCGTTTTATCTGCAGTTTCTTTCAAGGCAGAGAAAAAATCCCAAATAAAATAAAAATAGTTGCACTGCACATGTGACTCGTCCCAACGCAGTCGATCAGTCGGTTGCGGAACGTCGTATAGAATCGACAGCTAGAAGACAGAGAGCCCACATACTAATCCAAAAAGCAGAATGCACCGTGTATATCAAACTCGAATTTATTTTCCCTTCTACTCTGCAGTGACATGATCTCTCCAGAAAATGAGCATAGCTGAATCGCCAAAACCTACGCTACCGAGTAATCATTTATTATTCGAGAAAAGAGCTCTGTCCTGCGAGAGATATGCGTGTGTGAAACACAAATATTTTCTTTCTACCACAGCGTTATAAAAAGGCTTTTTCAGAAAACGGCCGCGTAGCGTAGTAAGCAGGGATTCAAGCTTTTGAATGCTCACTTGAAGTATAGTTAAAATTCGTTGTTCATCAGAGCGGGACTTTTGTTCATTTGTTGCCGTCTAACAGAAGGAAATCGATGATTGAATGCAAATCTGACCTTCAACATGATGTGGGGTATCAATTTGCCGACTGCGGAAATATGGAAGGCTTGGTGAATTTTGCGCACGACATCGGCCATCGTATCTAAGTAGATCCAGATATAATACAAGCGATTCACGAAAGCCCACTGTGATAGCGCTCAGAGCCGAAAAGAAAGTTTGCTGAACATAAGTCCACTTTTGAAATCTCAGAAATTTAGGATTTTTTCTGAGCTGTATGTACCTCCAACTTTCTTTTTTGAACAGTCCTGAACAAAATGTATCCTTGTGTTTTCCGAGCTTTAGTTGTTTTGTTAATGCTGTGTGAGTATTGTATGGTTTTGTGTGTAAGCAATGTGAGTTATAAACAAGATATAATCTTGATTAGTGTAAGTGTTCTTCGAATTTCAAGTGCGGGTAATAAAGCAGATTATGCCAGCGTACGCAAAAGCATCCCTGTTTGCCATCGGAGACGTGTGTTATACAGTAACTTTCCGATGTGCAAATATATCATAGTGTACAAGAATTCTTTGTTTTTACTGTTTTTAGCAGTGTAATGATGTGAGTATTAAACATTCAAGATCACAGAGTGGTATGCAAAACATTAGACATCAGGCAAGAGTTGTACCACCGTTCCACTCATACTGGTAGCATGTGCTACCACTAACCCCAACGTTGTCCTCCGAATGGGTGAAACGCGGGTTAAGCTCCCGCCTAATTTCGAATGTTTTGCATATTGCTCAGTAATTTTAGGTGTATGATTACAAATACATTAGTTTTTCTTTTCGATGCGGTGTCAAAATGCCACTTTTAGGGTTCAACTTCGCCTGGAACTAAAGAAATGGACATTTCTGACAGTCCGGTTCTAACTGGATTGGCGGCCGCTGTCGCAAATTCTTCATTGGAAAAATGTGCGTTGAATGAAAGCGACTGTTAACATCGCAATATAGATCCTATAAGGAAGGATCTCGATCTATACAGAGGGTTAGATTCGAGGTTTTGTCGAATCCGGTGTGATTCTGAGCTCGTAAGCGCTATTTCGCTTCTGATGAACTCCATCGTTTTGTCCTTTGCTCTGATATTTATTGACAAGACGTCGTGTATATAGAAAATTGTTATCGCTTTGTATCTTTGTAATAAGCAGTGTACCTACATTCCCTCCTTACGAATCACTTTTTCTCTTTCACTCATTGAAGAGACCAGTTTTTTTTTTTTTTACTTATAAAGCGAAGAGGTTTAGAAGATGTAGGTTTTGTGGTAGTGCATGTATACATGATCACTGTTCTGTACAGTAAGCAATAATATTGTGGCCTTTTTGTTGTTTTTTGTATTGTAGTTTCCTTTATCTCATTCCATATGTTACAAACACGTGGTATAGGTGCTGTGTAAATTAATTGTAAATCGAAATTTTTGATGACTAATTCCTGAAATCCACTTTTTTGTCATCAAAGGTGTAGTAACACCGGTTGATACTTATGGAACTACTTACTTACTAGGCCGAAGGTTTGAGCGTTTTGATATCTTATCTTTTCTTTACAGAGCTTAGATTACCTGTAAATCTCTAGCAATCCGCTGTCGTGTATTGGTTTTCCACGATTTCCTCGGATAAACGGGAAATAATGGACCTAATTGATATCTGTCTCTTAATTTTGCTTTTCACTTTCTGATTCAAGTCTGTAGATTTGGTGCTCGTCGTTTCTAGCGACGATCATTGTGGTTCTGCTTGCATTAGAAAGATTTTCGTTGCCATTCGAGTTGTTGTTGAGACTCGCTCAATGAGCGTTTGAATCTTACTGACAATTTTCATTGTTTTATCTTCCGCTTAATTTTTTGTCTTCTTCTTCCACATAGGTTTCTATGCCATAGCTGTGGTGAGTCCCTCCTCTCTGGAGAGAAATTAGTTCCTACCGAGAATGTTAGTGGAGCACATCACCTCCATACGCTGGTAATGAGCCTCCCTGCTAACTCACGTACTCCCGAAACAAATCTTATTGTGTTGATTTTGTCTTTTCTACAGCATAAGTTTGATAGTTTCGGCAGCTTTACTACGTGAGCTTTCTGTCTCAAAACGGAACACTGATAGTATAACCCATTACCGACCATGACGGTACGCTTTGTACGAAGCCGCGCGACATCAAATCTCACTCAGCTATCGTAGTGAGAGTGTCGCATCTCGTAGGAAGGCAGGTACAGAAGCAGCCGGATATGCGTGCACAGATAATGGCGACGTCGCGTCTGGTGGGAAAGGAGGCTTGCATGCACAGACATGCAGATGCTGCCTGTTTGTGTCTGCCGTGCAAGCGACGGCACGGCATCGCGTGGCTATCAGTGGTGGTCCTTAGAGGGATAACAGGAGACTTGAGTTGTAATGGGTAGCACCGTCATACAATATCTATTGAGTAACGATCGGTTGTGGGCTCATTGACGAATGCATCCTAAAGCGATATTGGTGGCAAATACCTGAATTGACTTTCCACTTCAATGTCTAACTTCGTTTGAGGTGATTGAATGCATATCTTGCTTTACAATGACTCGCGGTGGCCTCCCGCTGAACCAAGTCAGTACTGCTTATCCTCCCGGACAAGTGTGAGACCTGCCTGGTACGAATTTACCGTCCCCGGAGGGATGGATGGCTTGGTGGGCCATGAGCGCGAGATCGAACCATTGACCTCGTGTGCGACGCAGGGCACCTCTAACCACTGCGCCACATGCGCTCTATATACATATATATATATATGTATATGTACATATACATATATATATACACGTATATATGTATATATAGCTTCTAAGCTTCTTGTTTTTTCACATTAGGTGCATTTTTGTCGCGAAACCATTATCAATTTAGGAAGCGCGCGTGTTGGTCCGTGTTTTTTTTTTTTTTTTTTTTTTTTTTTGCAAAAGTGAAATCGCTCTCAACTGTGGAATCTTAGGTGCCGTGGAGATAACCGTTCTTGATAATAATGCTGTCGCCTGCCCATCAGGAATGGGAAGAGTTTGCTCAGAGTTTATTTTTCCATAAGTCGCTGCTCTCGTTTCAGTTTTCCGACATATCTTGCATGATTTCAGTCACCTCGCATCTAGTAGAACTTGAATTCATGTGGTAATTATTCGCACTGCAGAGTTTTCAATCCTGATATATTCTGAGAGATATTTAGCCTAATAACATATCTTGAGCCTTTCACGAGGTCTGTCAGAGTCTTATACAGTGCAAGGCGCGTGTTTCGGCATTACAGCCTCGTCAGATGCACGATGCCTTTCGGTTCAGCCAGTTCCGCGAGAGCTATCCAGTGTGTATAGAAATCGACTCCAAACTAATTACACGTGCCGTTTGATGAAAAGATTATCCAAAGGCCAGTGTTGTACACTCTAGTGAACCGGTGTTTCCCAGAAAATAAGCACAGCGTTGGAATCACTGAAACTTACGCCTTAGACTTATCAGTAATAGTCTAAAGAAAGAGCGGTGTCAGGCGAGGTGTAAAACACAAATGTTTTCTTCGCCTTCATCGCTGTCAAAAGAGTTTTTCCCAGAAGCACACACATTTTTGAGTTCTCAGAAACTTGAGCTATCGAATGAATATTAGTTCTCTGAGGAAGGACTTTGTCCAGTGAAATATAAGCGAAAAGAGAAAAAACGCGTGGTTGTGTGAACCATAATTTTATTTGGGTTTAACATCCTTATAAAAGTATATTTTAAAGAAAACCGGCCACGCATGGCTTTAGCCAGAGATCTGAGCTTTCGATTCACCACTAACTCTCCTTTGAAAATTTCTTGTCCAACGAATGGGTTTAACATTCATTTGTCGTCGTCCTAGCAGAAAATTATTCCTCGTAATGTAAGTGGCCTAGCAGACGTAATGAAAGGCTCAAAATATGCTATCAGATCATATTGTTTTGAGCGAGGTCTCAGAAACGCTCAAAAATAAAGGCGTGACTTATCGGCCCTTTTAGGGTTTACTATACCAGTAGTTTACGCACGTTCGGCGATCACGCTCGCCTCATCGGAGCCACGCACCCCACCAGCTGCTTCTACAAAATAGAAGGGAAAAGGCTCTGACGAGGTGAGCGAGATCTCTCAAAGGTACGCAAGCCACTGACGTAGGGAACCTCAAAAAGGCTAGAAAGTCTGCGCAAAACCCGACGTCATACGGAAGTCGAACCTGCGTTTCACCCATACCGAGTGCTGCCACTGCACCACCGAGGCCACCACTTGCGCAACACTCATTCAACATTTTGCTAACCTACCGTTAGCAGGTTTGGTCGGGGGAGCACATATTGCTCTCTAGATCCAGATAAACTTACAGCCATTGTGCATGTATAATATTCAAAATTCATTATGTTTTAAGTGCTTTTTTCACAGCGTAATGATGTTTCGAACGTCTCGGTGGTGTAGTGGCAGCACGCGTCCTTGGTGTGGATGGAACGCGGGTCCAATTCCCGTCTGAGATCGAAATTTTGTTCACCACTCAATTCTCTCAGGTTTGTTTATGTGAAACATCGTAATACTGGGAAAAGAGCGTTTGAAACTTAAGGAATTTTGAGTTTTATATATGCTGAAAATTCTCAATATATCGCAGTTAAGAAACGACTTTCTCAAGACTTGATCGAAGAACAGTGTCCTTCATACGTTTGAATGATAAATCTGTTTACGAGAGCCTTTTAAACTTGGGGGGGGTTTTTGCAATGAAAACTTCCCACAAGAAATATTTTCAGCGTTAACCTTTTCTCGGTTATGTCGTACTCGTTGTAATACTTACCCGTAGTGTTGTGATCAGCCTGTTGTTTTTTTCATGTGCATGGTTCGTTGAGGATGTCGTCGAAACGGAAGGTGCTTTTGATGGGAAAAAGCGGCTCTGGGAAGACGAGCATGCGGTCGATCATCTTCGCCAACTACATCGCTCGTGACACGTCGAGGCTCGGTCCAACAATGGAGGTCGAACACGCACATGTCCGGTATGTTTTCCTCATCATCTTCCTTCTTTTCGCATAATTTCATTGGTAATTCTGCAAGAATTTCCTGCCGTTTTGGATTTTTTTTTTAAATGATTTCAGGTTATATTCCGTTTGGTAGCACAGATTTTTAGGCCTGCCCTTTTCACTGGAGAAGATTCTTTCATAAACAGTCTTAGTCATATTTCAAGATCTCAAATCATTGGGTAGCGTTATACGTGGCTGATTTCTTACAAGACCCTTTTATAGCGCTGTAAAGTTCAAGGTAGAATTATGTTTCACATCGGCGTGTCAATTGAACTATAACTTGCTAGAAGCACGGAAAGCACACGAATGTACAGAAAATTCTATATTATCAGAGTGAGACGTTTGGTCTGGAGTTTCTTTAACAACGGAAAATAAATCGTAATCCAAATAACAAAAGTCGCACTTCACACAAGCGACATCGTCGATGGTCGCACCAGCACAGCCCCACCCCCGTCCCCACCACACAACCCGTGAATTGGCCGAAGATTACTTGCTCGCATATGTGAGTCAGTCTTATCTTCCCTGCGACACTCCAGAGAGACGGTTTTTCAGAAAATAAGCACAACGTTTGAATCAGCAAATCTTATGCTATTAAATGATCACTAATAGTCCAAAGAGAGATAGAGAGAGAGCTGTATTGCAAGAAGTATGCTCGTGTGAAACACAAATGTTTTCCTCCCGCTGAAGCGTTAGAAGTGTGTCTTTTTAAAAAATGAGCAAGTATTGCCTTGGCCAAAGATTAAAGCTTGCGAATGATTGCCAACACTCTTCATGAAATCTCTTTGTTCAGCGAAAGGGATAAGCTTAGAAATCTGTGCTGCCCATCGAATACATGATTTTGGTATGGTTTATCTGCGCATTTTCTTGCTAACATTTTGGTATACAACTTGTACTTATACCAATACCTGCTCAAATAGGGAGCTGTCTTGGGAATAAATTCGCTTACCACTCATGCACGAATAGCGCATAGGAGAAATGGCGGCCGCTCCACTTAAATGAATTTGTTTCTTATTGGCCAAAATGTTTAAGTTTGAGTTTTGATGGTGCTTATTTTGGCTAGAAATAAATGAGTGCTTTCACGTGTATCACCTGTAATCCCTTTGATCGTCGAGTGACTCAAGCGATACCACCAACACTTCCATTTTTCCCTATATTCGTTCTAGGGATTCGCTGAGCATCATCTCTTTCTTCTGTGCCTTTCGTGCAGAAATCAAACTATCGGGTCCGGTGGTCTTTCGCAGAGCGCTTGATGTCCCAAGGAATCCAAGCGGTAACGGCTCTCGTCCATCGGTTGTCGCTAAAGCGCATCACGGTCCGGCCCTCATTGTTTTCGATGTCCTGACGTGTAGAACGGCGTCTTTTATCCTCGATCTTTGACATAGGAATTTCGTAACCTTTCTCTCATCTGCAAGGTAAGGGGGTAAAGGATACTCCTAGCATCGACCTTTCGACTGCGCATTTAATAACACCAAGTGATCTTCCATCTTGCTTACGTACGACCAGGTTTCTGCTGCATACGTTAGGGCAGGAATAATTGTTGAGTCGAAAAGGTGGGCACGGAGTCGGATGTTCTTTGTCCTCTTCATTACATCTTCGATGCTCTTGAACGTTCCTCAAGCCGCTCGTTTCCTCCTGCTCAATTCTGGAATTAGGTCGTTCATCGTGTTGATTTCACGACCTAGATAGACGTAACTGGAGCATTCGGAAATTGTCGTTCCGTTGAGCGTGAATGGGGCATTCAAAACCCATCCGTTCCTCATGAACATTGTTTTCGTTAGATTTAGTTGAAGACCAATCTTTCCACAGGCGTTATCGAAATCGCATGCGTTTTGGAGGGTGGTAGTGAATCACCTTGTCAAACTCCTTTTCTTACGTCTATGATAATATTGTTGTAGAATGGAGATGTTTTGGTCGTGAAATCTTCATATAGCTCACGAAGGATGAGTGCTATATTAACTATACACCTATGTATATGCATATATACGCATAAATATGTATATGTATATACACGATGCGTTTCATTCAATAATTGCTACGTCCTTTCATTTCAGATTTCTCGGAAATCTCGTCCTCCATCTGTGGGACTGTGGTGGTCAAGAAACGTTTATGAACAATTATCTTACTTCTCAAAAGGATCAAATTTTTAAAAATGTGCAGGTAATACATCCAATATTGTGCCCCTACCCTTAAGTTACGGCCGGTGATCGATCGTATAGCGCAACTCGCAAGAGACGCGGTCTTAGTAATCCACTTAAGATTTCTCCTTCATTTGAAAAGTAAAACCTTTGGTTTATCGTGTTATTCTGATATTCCTCCATTTTCCCTTCATTTTCACGTGTTTTTCGTACGTACATAGCTTTTCTGTACGATAGAAGCCTAGAGAGAGTCAATTACAGCATCGGAATTCTCGAGTAGGCTACTGGATGGCTGTTAACAGTTTAGTGAAGACCTCATATACAAGCGCCAGCCAAGCAAATAAAGCGGACGAGTATGAAACATAATTTTGTTTTCGCTGCTACAACATGATAAAAAGCCTTACACAGAAATCAAATAAATTACTGAAACTGCAGAGATTTGAGTTTTCGAATGTTTACCAAATGTTTAAGAGAATAGTTTTGTCCAGCTAGAAATGGTATTGAAATAACCGTGTACCTCATCTGGTGCACGTGGTCCCCTTTAGGGGTTGAAGGGCGCGTATAGCTTAGTGTTAAACGGTACCCGTAATTGTACGTCGGGTCGGTCGCTGTTTGAATCTCATCTTTTGGTTATCAGCTTCCATTCTTCTAGGATCGAATAAAATCTATACCGGACTTTGCTGAGACAATAGAAGCACTGACTTTATGTTTTGGCGAGCCACGCAAGTTATTGTTTGAGTAGTATACGCTTTCTGCCACATCTAAGATACTTGATAAAACGAAATGCCTCTCTCATTAGCCTGGAGATCGATCACCGCCAATGGCTTCATTCTTCTCTTTCATAATATTTGCTTCAAAGTACTTGTAACGTTTCGTCTTTTCTTCATTTCAGGTGCTAATATATGTATTTGACGTCGAAAGTAGGGAGTTTGAAAAGGATCTTGGATATTATCAATCTTGCCTTGAAGCCCTTTTACATAATTCTCCAAACGCTCAGGTTAGAATACTTCGAGACCTCTTTTTTCCTGGATAAGTGCTCTGTTTTAGGTGTTTTGCCTTATCCATAAAATGGATCTTATTGAGATCGATCATCGGGACAAGGTACATTTCTGATGTATATCTTTTAGCTGTGGGGTATCTGTTTAACGTTTGAATTTCGCTGTTTACAGACATTTGAAGACCGGGCCTCGTTGGTTCTGAAATTCAGTGAGTTGGCTGCAGGTGCAGATCGTGCCAACGCCGTTTGTCAGTGTTTTCGAAGTAGTATCTGGGATGAGACGTTGTACAAGGTTAATCAAATGGATTAGTTTTCTTTGCTAATGGTTGTTTTCCTGAATAACTACACCTACTTTCTTGTAATGTGGTCCCATTTTCGCAGTTAAGTTGAATCTATGATATCATTTTACCAGGCGTGGTCCGCAATCGTATACAAGTTGATACCGAATGTGAGTATCATGGAACAGAAGCTGAAACAGTTTGCCGCTATTCTTGATGCCGATGAGGTGAGATTTTTTATCGTTTCGCTTTACGTACGTATTTCTACAGCCATTGTTTCAAAATGAGAAAGTTTTTGTTGTTGACTAATTCTTTAGGGATGCACCATGTATCCGTCTTCATCTGGCATCATCCGAGTGATTACTTGCATATTTAGCCCTTACAATGACGCCTACCAATGTGCCAAGTCAGTGCTGCTATCTTCCCAGACAATCTCTAGCTCTATACCAATCCGCCACCCTCGGAAGGATGGATGAGTCTGATGGGCCATCGGTTCGGAATCGAGCCATAGACCACGTGTGCGTCGCAGGGCACCTCAGACCACAACACCGCAGGCGCTATAATTCATATATAGTCATGGCCGCTCATGACCTTTAGTTTGATGGGTTTCAAATCTATGGAAACAATGGTTTTGTTCGCATAGCAAATCAACGTGAGCATGTGACGCAGTAGTTAAAGGTGATCCGCGATACACACTGGATTACTCGTCTGATGGTTGATGGTTCGATCATGCGCTCAAGGTTCACCAAGCCATCCATCCCCAAGGTTGGTGAATTGGTGCCAGACTTTTCTGCGAGGATAGCAGCACTGGCTGATACGTCGGTAGGTCATCGCCAGTCAATGTGAAGGCCAGATATGCATTTGGTCACCTCAAACGGAGCTAAGAATTCAAGACAAACGCATGACGTATTTTTAGGAATTGATTAACACCGGAAATTTTACCCATCAGAGCCTTTTTCATGTGTAATGGCGCGATCACAATCGAAATTATTCTTTGTTACACGCTTCTTTTCGACGGTTATTGGAACCTCGCTCAAAACTAAAATCTGATAACATATTTTG